AAAAAAAAAAAAAAAAAAAAAAAACTCATCTGCATTTAGAAAATCAGAATTTGTCAGGGTACGGACATAACTTAGAACTGGAAATGATTTCAGTTAAGAGAAAACAAAAAACATATATGGGTTCAAAATCCTATTAGCGAAGAGCTCAAGGAGAAGGTGCTTGTTAATCAGGGGATTGACTGTCACTCAGTCAACTAGCATAATTTAGCTCCCAAGAGGGAACAAAAACACCAGTGTTTTTGTTTTCCAGTGAGGAAAACAAGGAGAGAAGACACCAAGAGAGATATGGGGAGAAAAACTGAGAAGGGAAAGAATCAGAGCAAAAAGAGAGAACAAAGAAGGGGCATGCATGGCTTGCCAAAAAGGCATCAGTTCCCCTAGGTACTCTTCTCCAGACCCAATCAATGTCCGCCCCAGCCAGATCCCCATCATAAGGCCCTAAATAGCACACACCACACAACTCCCTTCTCCTCAGATCTCCTTCCGAAGCCCATAAGGCAGAAATAGGTAGCCCACAAAATATGTTTTGTGCCAGCCACAACATTCTGTAACTGCTCCCCTTCAGTTTCCCAGAGACACTCTGATGTGCCTATGTCAAAGAGAAAAGGAGAAACGTTCTCCTTCTGCGGCCCAAGCTGAGAGCATAGTGAAAGGTAAATTAGTTTTCAAATTCTGTGGGTTAATTATTTAAGCTAGTAATTCAGACAAGATTTCTAACCTGATAGAGTACCCTCTAAATCCATTCACCTTTGGTGTTTTTCATAGGTTTACTTGCCTCCTTTACTAAATGATATAAAATGTATGCTTGCCCTCACACTCCTCAGTCACATCAAGCATGTTGTCTCACAAATTGGTGAGAAGGAAAAGACAAAAACCCAGGAATATAGAGGAAGGATATTGAAAAGGAGGACATTGCAGTGATATCAGGGTGGGGAGATAGGTTGAGACCCCAAAGGAATGGAACAGAGTTGCAGCCACAGGCAAGACCGAGCAATAGGAGTTGAGGAAGGAGAACCACCGGGGCATGGAAAGAGGGTGGCATTGGTTAGGAGGTACATGGTGTGTGTGTATGTGTGAGAGGAGGAGAGATATGAGGCATGGGGATGCTCCTAAGCTGAGAGTGCAGTGAGAAGTCCC